GGGTCCACTGGTGGAACCTCTTCTAACCGGTTCGGTAGATTTGACGAACCGGTTCTACCGAATAGGTGCGAACTGGTAGGAACCCACCTCTGTTCAGGACCCAAAGCAGTCTCTTAACCATTGAACGACTGCCCATTCGTACTGTTGATGCAGCACTACAGAGCAGTGAATTGCTATACTTACTTAAAACAGTTGCTAATCGGATGGTAACATCTCTGCCAGCGATATAGGTGCAGCTGTCAACACTCAGAGCAATATCTTGCAGAGGATCTGCAGAGAAAAACAAGATGCAAAACAAGAGCGATTGGTTTTACAGTAGTCTAGATAAGAGTTATAATAGTGTAGTAGATGACAAAACACCAGAAAGATATTTCTTAATCTTGCTTTCAGTCCAATCATCTTCACAGTTCCTGTGGACGTGATCTCTGCGGATCACTCTGCTTTCTGCCTGGAAGATTCAACAGGGAAGGGAATCGAAAGCCCGTGGGCCTTGTCCTCTTGACACCATAACTTGATTAAGCAACCGAACTTCCTGAGTAGAAGCAAATGTGGGGGAACCAGACTTTTCTGTGTAGCTTGCCCTGAAATGCCACTTCTGCAATGCCAGTGTTGAAATTTAAACAGGAAGCACCTTGCTTCTTCAGGATGTGACCGGACCACCAAAGAATCTCTCCAACTTTCCAAGCTCTTCCTCAATTTCTTTTTGACAGAGCCTCTCAGATCTCCCTTTAAGTATCATCAGCCCCATAGATCAACCTTAGAAATTTCTCTGACTTCCTTACACAGTATAATTTTATACCTGTATGTTTTGTAGCTTTTTCCTTCTCTCTTATTCTGTGGAGAAATAGATGCCACGTTTAAATTTAGCAGACTTGTCCGCAGAAGACACAGTGACAAAATGTGCTGTAGGTAATTCTGCAATGCCAGCAGCAGGGGTGAAATTCAACAGGTTCTGACAGGTTCTGGAGAACCGGTAGCATATATTTTGAATAGTTTGGAGAATCGGCAAATACCACCTCTGGCCCCAAGGTTGGGTGGGAACGGAGATTTTGCAATATCCTTCCCCTGCCACACCCACCAAGCCATGCCCACAGAACCAGTAGTAAAAAAAATGAATTTCATCACTGGCCAGCAGCCTTATTTTGTTCAAAATGAGTGGCATGTTTGTGTGGCTACATGGCACATAGCATGAATGGAGAGAAAGAGACCCCAAATAGAGAAGGTCAGTATCATAACTTACAATGTATTCATTTGATAGTTGGAAACAGATGTAGCACATATAAGTTTGTGCATCAGAAGTTTTCTTTATGCCTTTAAAAATATATATATATATATATATATATTTT